AAAGCTTGGAGTTGGATGGACTCATGCTGGATCCAGAAATTGGCCAGTCCATGCAGTGCCCTGAAATGCCCAAAGATGCCTTCGGTTGGCACACTGACCAAGTCACTATCCCAAGATCATTCAGTTGGTGGATGCCTAAGGCTTCTGATTTTGGGTTTTGGACAGTTTCCTATTTCATTTCTGCTCTTCTTCCCAGAGGCAGTTCCTTGGAGCCCAGGAGAAGGTGCTCAAAGGCCCCATGTGTCATAGGCCAAGTCCCATGCTAAATCACTTGACCATAAAGTACTGTGTTTGAAATTTTAGGTTCTGCTGCACACGGGGATGCTTTCCAATGTTGAGTGGGGGTTGTATATTGATTTTTTCAAATTATAAGGAGGCTGCAATTATAGAACACTGAGAGAGAGACAAATTGAGGGGGCCCTACCCTGTACTAAGGAGCTCTGGTAGTGTAGTGCCTAAGGCACTTGACTGCTAACCAGAAGGCTGGCGGTTCAAACCCACCAGCCACTCCTCGGAAGGAAGGTTGGGCAATCTACTTCTGTAGTGATACTGCCTCGGAAACCCAAGGAGGGGTTGCTATGAGTTGGGTCCAACTCGGCGGCAAACAACAACCCTGTGCTAACAACCGGGATGTTCCTTAGAAGCTAAGATGGCAAGACATCACCACACTTCCTTCGGACACGTTGTGAGGAAAGACCAGTCACTGGAAGAGATGAGCGTGTCTGGGAAAGTGGAGAGTCAGTGAAAATAAAGGGAGCCCTCGGTGAGGGGGCCTGACACAGTAGCTGCAACAATGCATTTGAACAGACCAACGATCATGTGGCGCAGGACTGGGCAGTGTTTTGTTCCATTTACCTAAGGTTGCCATGAGTCGGACCCTCCCCTTATTCCCAACTACAGACAGAGCTGTGTTACCAACCCCACTCAGCTCTCACTGGGCGGAGTGGAGAGGGCTGTGCTGTGGCTTACTGGGCAACGAGATTGTACCACGAGAGCTTTGTCTGCAGCTCAGAGGTAAACCCCTGGTGGCACAACAGGTAACCTGCTCCCATAAAGAGTACAGCCTAGGAAACCCTCTGGAGCGGTTCTCCTCTGTCACCTGGAGTGGTTAGAAGCTGGAGTCCACTCAGTGGCACTTAACAACAGCAGTAGGAAATAGCTGGTTTGGTGACTGTGAGTTCTTTTTATCTCACTTATCACCTTTTCTGGGGGGCAGTTGTGACCTCACACTGACTCTCCATCACAACCTTCTTTCACCTTTGGGAAGCAAAGGTGAGTTCCAACGTCCCCCCAAAGAAAGGGACTTTCTTTGCTGGAAAAGTAAATAAATAAATAAAAGATCAAGTGAGCAGGATTCCTAAACACAAGTCCTTAATCAGAATTGCTGCAGGTTTTTCCTTTCACCTGATGTTTTGCATGATATCTTCTTCATGTGCAAGTGCGCAGCCTATCTTTCTAGGAGGGATGGTATTTCAGCTGCTCTGGGTTGAAACAATAGACCTCGTATGGCTGAGTCATCTTGTTTCCCACCAAAGGGGAAAAAAAAGGAGAAAATTGGTATTCTGGTGGTGCCACAAGACGTCAGCTCCTGTTGACATTAGTCTCCAGGTCTTCGTAACTGCGGGTTAACAGACTAGGCTTTGGGACTGAGAGGGCTCTGTTTGAATCTGCGTATTCACTGCCTTCAGGGAACGCATGTCACCTCTTCAGACTACCTGTTCTTACCTGGAAAGTGTGTTGTTGCCTCATGGGCTTGTGGGGAGGCCTAAGTAGTGGCAGGTGTGAAACTCTATCACAGGGTCTCTGAAGAACGTCTTTGTCATGCGCTGCGAGTCAATTCCAACTTCAGCGACTCGTGGCAGCCACTGTGTCAATCCAGCTTGTCGTGGGTCTTCCTCTTTTTTGCTGACTCTCTGTGGTTAAAACATTAGGCTGCTAGCCAAAAGGTTGGCAGTTCAAACCCATCAGCTGCTCAAAGGAGACATGAAGCAGTCTGCTTTGGTAAAAATGCCTTGGACACATTTTGGGCCAGTTCTACCCTGTCCTAACCGACTATTGGCTGGTGGGTTTGTTTTGGGTTTTCTATTAACCAATCCTGATGTCCTTCTCTAGGGGCTGGTCCCTTCTGATAACACAGTGGCTGCAACAACGGCCTCAAACACAGCAATGGTTGTGAGGGTATGTGGGTCACCAGGCAGTGTTTCGTTGTGTTGTACAAAAAGGGTCATGATAAGCCAGATTTGACTCCATGGCACCTAATAACATGATAATAAGGGACCTTATGGACAGCGTGGAACTGCCCCCGGACTTCCTAGGCTGTAAACTTTACTGGAGCAGCTCATTAGGTCTTTCTTCCACGGGGCTCCTGGGTGTGTTTGAACCGCCAACCTTTTAGTCAGCAGCCAAGTGCTTACTGGTGTGCCCCCAGGGCTCCTTTCCACAAAGAGTAAGTGCCAATAAACGTGGGCTTTTGTCGATATCTTCTTCTGTAGTCCAGGACGCTGCGCGTAGGGGACCGGCTTATGCCCCCAACCGTGGTCGTATGCCGTACCTCAAGTCATCACCTTGAATTTGTAACATGCTCACATCAGACATATTTTGATCCCCTTCTCCCAGTGGGTGAGCTGTTATCACTTAAAGGGTTAACCTAGAATTTACAATTTGAAGAAAGCTTGTAGTACCATCTGGAGCCAGAGAGGGGCAGCATACAGCCATCGGCACTGAGGTCCGGCTGATGCTGACTGGATCTTTTTTCCAAGGGCGCAGGAGTCCCGCCAGGAGGCTGGAGCCTCAAGAAAACTAGTGAAGAAGTCACAGATGCAGTGGAATCTAAGATGCAAACACCTAGGGCAGAAGCAGACACCCAGACAGGAAGTGAAACTGCTCGTGGAGTTGGGAGCCTGGGGTACGGGCACCACTAGCTTGCTCCATGTTCTTCACAAGGATGTGTGTTCTATCACATGTGCCCTCCCTCAGTCACATCTACTACTCACTCATTCTGGCATTCATTCTCCAGATCATTCATTCATTCACAAGGACTGTAACTGCCCCTTGTTGTTGTTAGTTGCTGTAGACTTGGTTCCGACTCATGGTGACCCTATGTACGTATAACAGAATGAAATGGTGCCCAGCCTGCACCACCTTTCAGCGCAATAAACCAAAAACCAAACTCAGTGTTGCTGAGTCAGATCCCACTCATAGCGATCCCTCCTTGGGTTTCCAAGGTGATATCTCTATGGAAATAGATTGTCCAGTGTCCTTCCTAGGAGTGATTGTGGGTTTGAACCACCAGCCTTCTGGTTAGCAGTCAAATGCCTTAGGTGCTATGCCACCAGAGCTCCTACCGGCACAATATTGCACAGTATTCTATTGCGATCCACAGGGTTTCCACTGGCTGACTTTTGGAAGTAGATCGCCAGGCCTTTCTTCCTAGTCTATCTTAGTCTGGAAGCCCTGCTGAGACCTGTTCAGCATCACAGTGGGCACGGCGTTCATAACTGTGGAAGTGGACTGAGTTTGGCTTCTCATTGCACACTGAGCATGCTCAGACCCCTGCTGTGTCAAGTCCATGTTTGGCTGAGCTTCTGAGAAAGCCATGTTTGCGGTCGTCTCTAGTGGTGCAGACATGAGATTTTGGGGTCCAGTGGAAACCCATTTTTTGTTTAGGCAGGCTCTTCAAATGCTAGTGTTCTTTTAGGAGCCAAGGGATTCCTGATTGAGTAAAATTAGTACTTTAAGAAAAAAAAAAAGAGTTATGCTGTGTTAAAAATAGGAACTCTGGTGGTGTAGAGGATAGGCACTAGACTGCTAACCAGAAGGTCAGTGGTTCAAACCCACCAGACACTCCACAGAAGGAAGATGGGGCAATCTACCTTTGTAAAGATTTACAGCCTTGGAAACCCAGTGGGGGTTGCTATGAGTCAGAAGCTGCTTGATGGCAGTGAGTTTGGCTCTGTGTTAAAAATGCACATTTAATGCACACTATAGTCCTAGATGGGAGAAACATGAGGCAGTCTGCTTCCATAAATGTTGACAGCCGTGGAAACCCTAAGGGGCAGTTTTACTCTGTCCTCTAGGGGCTCTGTGAGTGGGCATCAACTCAACAGCTGTAGGTTTATTGTGGTTTTAATAGTCTTAGACACTTTTCATCAACCCCATTTTGCAGGTGAGGAAAATGAAATCCAGAAAAGTTAAGTAACTTGCCTATCGTCACACAGCAGGGCTCAGATTGGAACCTGGATCATTTGATGACTCAGTCTGAGCTATTAACCCCATTGCTGTGGTTTCTTGACATGCCTTCAACATTGAGGAATGAGTGGTAACCATGCCCCGCTCTTCCTACAAAGAGACGTTGCATTTATACTGTTTTGGAATTTTCTTGTGATGTCCCAGTCAAGGGACCCTCCGAGAAGACAGTGCATGTAGTGCAGGAGGCAGAGGCTGGGCTGGGGATTCGAGGCCCAAATTGTGCCTTAGCCCCCTTTGTAGCTGCATGACCTTTGCCAAGGAATGAAGGTTACTGAGCTTGGTTTAGTCATTTGTGAGATGGGGGCTGTGAGGACAAGAGTGAGGACAGAGGGAAATTTCCCAGTGTAGTGCCTGGCACGCAGTAGTGCTGTGTGAACAGAAGCTGTGAGACGAGTGAGCACATCTCTCATTTTAGTGATGCATGTGTCTGGCAGTGGGGACTCGGTCTTGTCTGTATCCGTGTTCTTATTGCCAAATACGATGCTTGCCATGGGATACTGTTGTTGCCGTTAGATGTTACTCATCAGCCCCAACTCATGGCAACCACATGCACAACAGAGTGAAAAGTTGCCCAGTCCTACACCCCATGATCAGTGGTGGATTGGACCATTGGACCCTTGCTCCATAGGGTTTCCATTGGCTCATTTCTGGAAGCAGATCTCCAGGCCTTTCTGCCTCGTCTGTCTTACCTGCTCAGCACCATGGCAACACACGAGCCTCCAGTGACTGATGGGTGATGGCTGTGCGGGAGGTGTACTGTCCAGGAATCGAACCTGGGTCTCCCGCATGGAAGGCGAGACCTCTACCACTGAACCACCACTACCCCCTGGCCTAGAATAGAAGCTCAAAATCCTTTAGGACATCTGTTAACCTTGTAAACTTTGTTTGCCTGGTTTTTAAGATGAGGCAGTCATATTTCCTACGTGGAGTTGTGAGGGTACCTGGATGGCTTCTGTACAGAGTGACAAGCATAAGAACTGGCATCTAGTAAGTAAACTTCAACAGATGGGGCTGCGGTGACTGTCAGTACTGACCCTGTGTTAGCTGCTAGGGCTGCTGGGACAGAAATACTGTGAGTGGGTGGTTGTAATGAACAGAAATTAATTTCCTCCCAGTTCAGAGGCTGGGGTTCTGGATTCAGGGCACTGGCTCCAGGGGACGGCTGTCTCTCTGCCGTTTACTTTACAGGGGAGATCCCTGTAAGTGTCTAGAGACTCAGCGTTCCTTGGTGATGTCCATGTGACATCTGTCTTTTCCCCATTTGCTTGCTTGCTTTGGTGGCTGACCTGCTCTTTTTTAGCTCAAAAGTGAGAAGGCTTAAGGGACACCTTCCACTGAGAGGGCCTCATTAACATACAGAGGAAACCCTAGTCCCAAATAGGGTCACATTGACAGGTATAGGGGTTTGGACTCCAACACTTACTTTGGGGGGGGGCACAATTGAGTCCATAACAGAACTCATTAGAGGAGACTCCTATAAATGCCTCCTCAAACCCCGGTATTCACCACCCCTTTTTCCTTTGCCTGCGTCACTCTTGGGGGGCCATCGGAGAGCCATTGAGGTTGCACTCGGGTGCTCTGCCTGTCCTCTAAGTGGGCACAACGTTGGCAGGGAATGGCAGTCGCAGCGATGACAGATAGTGCCCACCGAGAGGGCACAGTGCAGTCAGGAAGGGGGTGTGGGGTAGGTGCAATGGGGAGGAGGCCCCCTCACGAAGGCTGGGGCCCTGCCTGCTAAGCGGGGGTGGCATGCTGACTCTCCAAGCCCTTCCCAGAGGCAACATTCAGGTTGTCACCACTGCAGCTTATGTGCAGTGGCTCTGGCCTAAGGAGGACGTTTCAGGGGGACATATGTTCCAGGCCCAGCAGCACAGCCGGACCTGAAGGCCATTCACTCCCTGATGACCTGGTGATTCTGTCTCCACTCAGGCCATGCAGCTCGTGGGGCTGCCAGCCTGCTGTCCCAAAGTGGATCTCCCAGCTGCACACTATCAGATGACCCACATTGTCTCTCCCGTCTCTGCCTCCTCTCCCATAACTGTGGAAATCCGCTTCTGCAGAGCAGGGACGGGCCGCATAAAATATGAAACAGGACTCCCTGCTCAGATGAGGGAGCTGCAATATTTAAAGACAACCGCAAGCGTGATCTTGGGGCACGTGAGAGGTAGGAGCAAAACCAGAGGGGCATCTGTGGGTTTCTGCTCCTAGAACACAAAGGCTTCTTTGTCTAAAAGATGCATGTCCCAAAGGCAAGCACAGGAGACGATATCTACCCCTTGTCTTTCCCCAGGAACCCGGGGCTACCCATCCTCCAGAGAATCTCCCAGATGGTAAACGGGACTGAAGTTAGCACATAAATTCTCCCCAGGGAATTGGCGGTTGGTGATAGCAGGCCTAATGAAATTTTTTATTGTGGTTATTACATACAATTTGTACAGTATATCATGCACAGAAATTTCTTCTATTCCTATAAATCCAGAATTGCCAGCGTAAATGCCCGGGCTTACGAACTGCGGCAGAACACAATTACCTCTAGACACAAACTCTCTTTAGGACATAAAAATCGTTGCTACTGAGAAGGCTGAATTGCACCAGCAATTTTGTAAATATTTGAGTGATGTATTTCCTTTCGGATAAGTTTTCATAGCCTTGGAAAGCTGTCTCGTTTCTTAATGCTTTTGTTGTTTTTTGTTTTTTTTTTTTCCTTTGCTGGATACCACTTGTGGCCCAATTGTTGTTTTCAATCATGCTTAGTAAATCAGACTATTGGACAAATGTCATTTATAAAAGGTTCCGAAAGACAGGGCCTTCTGCCGGCATTACGAGAACTGTCTTCGCGTGTGTTTCCTGAAGGTGGGTGAAGGGAAGGAAAACCACTGAACTCCTGTCCTTTCCTCCCCCCAGCGTGCTTCGTTCTTCAAGTTAGAAGTTGGAGACGAGGTTTCCATTTTTAATGAGGGCTGATTCTCGGCGCCTTCCTCTTTATGCTTCGATCAATGCGGGGGTCACTCTTGGATATACCGGGTTGCTTTTCACGCCGGCAAATCGCACTCGCTGCAGAAACTTCCTGCACATTCTCTAGTTGGGCTTTATTACCAAGCGTGATGGTGAAGGATGCGGTAGCCTCATATTGATTTCCTACAAGTTCTAATATCGCAGAGAGAGAGAGAGAGAGAGTTCTTCCATCAGCTTCCAGCCAGCGGAGAAGGGCGACTGTTACAACTCCTCATAACAGTTTCCAAAGGAAGATCAGAGTGATGGATTACAGCCTGCCCTGGAAGTGGGGAGACACAGGCCGTGAGCAAACAGGAAGGGTTCAGATTCGAGCAACATGGATGAGAGGGCCGGGCCTCTTCCTTCCTCTCTGCCATCCTGCCTGCCGCAGTCCTGGTTGTCTTCCCCCTTCCCGCCCTCCCTGTCCTGCCTCCCTCTCTCTTCCCCATCCATCCTGCCTGCCTTCTTTCCTTTTTGTCTCTCCTCTTCTCCCTCCCTCCTCGCTCTTTTCTTATTTCCTTCCCACCCACACACCCACCATTCTCCACCTTTCTCCCTTCTGCTTCTATACCTTTTCTTGCCTCATCTCAGTTAATCCTTGTAACATTACGAGCCACCTCAGACTAACCTGCATTGTACAGGTGAGGTTTAGAGAGACTAGGTTTCCTGCCCAAGGTCATGTTCTTCTGAGTTGGGAGCTGGGATTGGAACGTGGGTCAGATTGAGGCCTGATGCCCAATAGGACACAGTCAGTGAAACTTCTTCTCCTGACTTTCTCTTTCTGTGTTTATCCCAAGGGCCTGGCCCTCGGAGGACTACCCACACCCTCTGAGTGTGCTCCTGGAGATGCTTATGCACCATGAAACAGATACTTAGGAAACCAATCAGCCTTTTCTATGCCAAAAGCTCATTTGATGCTTGCTTCCTGTGCATGGATTCCTAGGAAAGACTCTCATGAAAGGCATATAAAGATGCCTAGGTGAGTTTCCAAGGAGCTTTGGTGGCGTAATGGTTAAGGCATTGGGCTACTAACCTAAAGATCGGCAGTTCGAACCCACCAGCCACTCTGTGGGACAAAGACGAGGCAGTCTGCTTCCATTAAAACTTACAGCCGTAGAAACCCTCTGGGGGTCACTGAAAGTCAGAATCAACTCTTTGACAGTAGGTTTTTGTTTTGGAGGTGACTTTGGGGGCAATATAGAGATACTCAGTTAAACGGGACTCAGTTTGTACTAAGTAAATTGGCTTATTTAGTAGAAGAAGCCAGACACAGGGAGTCTTTGTAAAGAACCAACACAAAGTGAGGAAAAAACATGGATTAGTATTTACCAAGGAAGAAGTTAATAACTGATGGCAATATTAAACAACGGGAGCAACCTCATGTTCTGGTAATCTGATGAGTGTGAAATAAAACAAGAAGATCTCAGTTCTTACAGATGCAATGCTAGTTTATCTTCCTAATCATACTTCCACTGTGTCGAGTGGTGGGGTGAGGGTGCTGTTGGGGAGGGGACAGCTACATGAACATCCCCACATCCTGCTGCTGGGCATGCATATGTGTTTACATGGGCTGCACTTATAGCGTTGTCAAACACGGTTTCCCGATTTCAATCATTGGAAACAACACAGTTGGTGAAGTAGAGGGTCAGTGAAAAAAAGAAAGGAAGACCTCAACACAATGAATTGACACAGTGGCTGCAACGATGGGCTCAAATACGGCAACAATTGTAAGCATGGTGCAGGACCGGGCAGCATTTCATTCTACATAGGAGCACTATGAATCAGAACCAACTCCATGGCACCCAACACAACAACACAAATGACACAATGATTAAAATCCCGGTGTGTGAACATTTACACAGATCAATGATTATTTCTAAAAGCTTGAACCAAATGGAACAGTTCAATGTTTAGTTTCCAATACTCTTACACAGTGCCTCTATCTCAGGGTCACTTCTTCTCCTTAGAGAGTTTATATTCCACTGGGAGAGCATTAATCAAATAATCTCACCAGTGACTGTGTAATGGAAAGCTCAAAGAAGAGATCTTTATACAGAGAAAACTTGTGTAGACTGGGGGCTTCCTTCCCTCTCGCTACTGTAACACAGATACCACAAGTGGGTGACTTGAAGGAACAGAAACGCATTTCTCACCATCAGAAGGCTACAAATCCAGCTGGGGTCTCCACTGTGCCGATTCCTCCCTCGTTGAACTGATTCCTTCCTCAGTTCTTCAGTGACACTGTGACAGAAATACCA